AGGTTTTTAAAGGTGAAAATTCTAAGGCGACAAGCAAAACAATTGGGACTTCGCGCAAACAAGAACAGGAAGGAGTAGATAAAGGCTCAATTTTCCTCCTCAAGTAAACATACAAGCAGCACGACTCGAACACAATTAAGGTCTTTATTGATCAAAGTTCAAAAGCAGGATCTCTAAGTGACTATGCAAAAATAGACCACATTTTATACCAGAAGTTATAACCTAGAAGTTGCCTAGGGATTCTTTTCAAAGCCATTAGACTCAGAAACGTTAACGACAGAGAGAGAGCTTTGAGGGAATGCATTTTTGAAGATGCCTTAAGGCCTGTCTATATGCAGATGTTGTGTCCATATTAATGCAGAAACAAATAGGTTTTGAAATGGACTCCTTTAATACCTATAGGCATGATATCTAATGAGATCGAAGCAGTTTGAAAGAACTTGTTTCAGGAAATACTTAATACTTAATAAAACCAATTCAGAAATGAACTAAGCGTGATCAAGTTGACTTATTTAGACTAAACTAGATTGAAAAGCATAATTTCGAATATGGTTCCCTATAGGCATGATATCTAAGCGTAACACTGATTTTAATGGTTTTCAGGCGGGAAAACATACATAATTACTCATTGTTCCAGAATCTGAATTAAGTCCTATAGGCATGGAATCTATTATTAGTCTGATTTTAAGACATGATTGTTTGGAACCTATAGGCATGGTTTCTAAACATGACAAAATGTAGAACCTTATAGGCATGATTTCTACTTAGTAAAGCATACAGATATAAAAGTAAGGTCCTTGAAGCATGATTTCTACCCGAATTACCCCATAAAGCATGTATCTACCCACCCTTTTCTCTAAATACCCCAATATCTGTTTATAAGTCAGTACAGACCAATGAATGAATTACATAAGTAAATAAAAAATCAAGAAGCTACTCAATAGGGAGCCTTCAATTAGGCCCAGATTCCCCAAAGCCTCCAACGACCTCATATGCCTCAATTCCATAGACAATGACATAATCTAGGTAGATCAAAGTTCCCTAATGATCTCAAGGTTCCCGGACAGTGCTTACACCTAGACTTGGTAACCAAAATTGAACAAGTGCAGTGTGGAAGGGCCAGCCTCAGTATGCCAGAGTTCTGAGGGTTTTCAAGAAGATCCCAAGGCAGTACACATACTGGAGGGGGCAGAACTTATTAATCTAGGAGTAAAGTGAAAGTGCTTGACACAAGTTGAAAAGGTTTTTAGTGAAAGGCTGTATTAAAAAGTTTGTTTGAAAGTAGTTTAGTAAAACAACAGAGACTGTTTGAAAAGAGATTGAAGAAATGAATAGAAGTCCAAACACAACCTTCAAGACAGGTTCATACACATCCAGTAGTCACAGAACCAAACAGGGGTCAAGGGGGTTTGGGATTCATAGAACACTTAATTGCAAACACATAATCAAGCAAAGGTCTGGGAATGTTCAAAAACAAACAGATGGGGGTAACACACTGATTCTAAAAGGAAGGAAGTTCATAACATGCTTAATAATGTAAACATATTAACTGCAGATTTCACAGCAAAACCACAAATAAAAGCAAACTAGAAACAGAATGAACTGAAACAATAAGAGAATCATATTATTGTTGGAATTCTGAATTGAAACTAGGACATACCAGTAAAGAGGATAGCAAACACAGTGAAAGAGCAGGAGAACACAATGGTTAGCCCTGACTTGCAGCCGGCTAACTTAGAGCAGTAGCAAGTAGTACAAAAGAGAGCAAAAAGTTTTAAGTGTGTGAGAGAGCTTTGAACCAAGAGTTCGTGTGTTAAGACTGTAGAAGAGAGCCATTTATATAGTAGTTTGAAAACTAGTTAAAATAAGGCAAGAATCAATTGTTCAGTAATTATAGAACTTAGTATAAAAATTGGTTCGAATCTCCCTTTAATTAAGGGAGTCAGTGCAAACGGTAAAGAGCAGTAAGGAAAGAAATCATACACGGCTGGAGTATAACAAATAAGGAAAGATTTCAAAATAGTACAAGAATATAACAGGTACAAGAATAGAACAGGTAATTAAGGCTAGGTTCAGAAAGTTTTAAACTAAGGAAACAATCAGTAAGAATCGAGTAACAATGCAGACAAGGCAAGGGAAAATTAATTAAGCCAAGCAAACAAATCAAATTAAGTGGAAAGGGGGGGGTTTAAAGGAAAGTGTTCAAATCACACCAAGTAACAGGGAATTCAGAATCAATCAAAGAGAAGGTCATAAGAAAAAAAAAGTCAGCATGTTTAACATATAAATAGAGTAAGACATGGATAGTCAAGAATTGGCACACAACTCTAGCAAAACATGAAGGTTAAACAATACCGAATCAGTGAGAAAGATGCAAGTCTTGATGTGAACATTCAAGATGAACACATAGAATCAGTGTAAGTTTAGGCTGAGAAACTCAGTAGAAGCATATCAAGGCGAGGCAGTCATAAGAAATCACAAGAACACAAAAAAAAAAAAATGAGAGCCGGTCGGTCATGCTAATACACAAAAACCAAACGAAGAACCCTAAAGATTAGGGCTTTTAACATAGGCAAGTTGAATAAGCAGTAAAGCATAGAATCAGTCGAGATATGCAAAAGATAGAAGTTAAAACATAAAAATCGATTTAAACAAAGTGTAGAAGAAGTTCTGAAAAACCCTAGATTTAGAAGAAAGTGAAAATCAACTTGAAATCGATGATTTTTGCAAAAGAAGTTCAAGGACAGTGTAAAACATAAAAGGAGCAGACTTGAATCGTTTAAAAATAGCCCAGATATAGGAGGTGTAAACAAAAATTAGGGTTTCAGAAGAAACCCAAGTAGAGGTGGAAGAACCTGTTTAGAAACTCAAAGATCGTAACAAATACAGCGTGATTTTGCTCGAAATCACACCGGAGTAGCCATGAACATACAAACATCGAACCCTAGATACAAGTCGGCGTGGTCCAGGGCCCTTGAAGGCCTCAGAGAAGATGAGCATGGCAATGGAGGGGCCACTGGAGGCTTAGGAGTTGAAAGGTAGTCACCGGAGACGACCGGAGAAGGGGGCGGCGGTTGAACGGGGGTTAGGGTAAGGTTGAGAGAAGAGAGGGGACGAGAGGATACAGGGGCGGCGCCCGATTGGAAATGAGGCTACGGTTAGGGTATTAGGGATTAAAAAGGGAAGGAAGTAATATGGGCCATTGATCTAGGTGATCAACGGCCAGGATTTAATTGATTCCGGGTCGGGTAAGTGTGTATAGGGTCTGGGTCGGGTAATTTAATAGGAAATTGGGTTGGGGTAGGGTTCAATTTAGGCTGTAATTGAAATGCCAATCTGGCTATAATTTAAATAGCTAATTTTCCCCTATTTAATTTATAATAAATAATAAGTAATTTCTGGGAAATAATTTAATGTGCCAAAATAATTTAAAATATATAATTAACATTTTAAAAATATAGGGACCAATTTTATGCATATAAAATATAATTATACATTAAAAGGGCTAACATTACAATTATATGCAATTTAGCTTAAAAAAATACTAAATGTAATTATAAAAATGCATGAAAAATATATTAACCAAATTTTGGCATAAGTATAGAGATTAAATGAATAAATCATCATAACAATAATTTGAAAAATAATTATTGGGGTTTTATGGATAAAAATGGGGAAAATAAATCAATTTAAGCCCTTAAAATTATGGAAAAAATAATAAAAACATTGTGCATGCTTATATATGCATATATATGCTATTTCGAAGGTATTTTTGCATATTTAAAATATATAGGGAAAAATTGGGTATCAACAGTTACAGCAAAAAAAGGGAGGATTCTGTGTTGTACGGTGAGATCGGGTTGCGTGCCGCAACAACCTACATGTTTCTATTTTCTTGAGTTGTGTTGGTTTTTTGGTATTTTCATTTGAAACTCTAAGGATTGGTAATTCTGAATGACACTGGCTTATCTTTTTAGGCTGTAGCCATCATTCTCCCTTGACTGTCTTATTTCGTTCCGTATTTCCTTTTCTGTCTTTATTATATACTGTGTATAGGTTGTAGTGTAGGTGGCCTGCCTTAGCCTCTTCGCTACTTCGTCGAGGTTAGGCTCGGCACTTACAGAGTACATGGAGTCGGTTGTACTCATACTACACTCTGCACTTCTTGTGCAAATTTTGGAGTCGGTCTCAACGGCAACTATTAGCGAGCTTGGATTGATTAGTTTTGCGGAGACTTGAGGTATAGCTGCTCAGCGCCCGCAGCTCCTGGAGTATCCCTCCCTTTTATTTAGCTGTGTATTTCCTTTAGATAACGTTATATTTATTTCATACCCTTGTATGAACTATTCTAGTAGTTTGTGCACTTGTGACGTCGGGTTCAGGGATGTGCTAAACGTTTGGTTATTTTAGCTTCTGCATTATTACTTTGGATTATTGCAGTAGTTTCAGTTCTTTCTCAGTAACTAATATTAAACTGTTAAAAATGGATAAAACGTTCTAACGTTAGCTTGCCTAACAAGTGAAATGTTAGGTGCTATCACGGTCCTGAGCAAAAATTCCAGGTCGCGACAAGTTGACTTATAATTCGCATTCAAGGAATGCAATTTATAAGTCGCAATGTATTTATAAGTCACATTAGGGGCAAATCAATTGAGCGAGGATTAAAATCTGGATAACTAAGTGGGCATTTGGACTTAAGAATTGTAAAATTCCCAAAAAAGGTGAAATTTTTTTTCAAGTTAAATAGTATTTGAAAATTAGAGTTGTGTTTGGATATGAATATAATTTTAGGTTGTTTTTAAAGTTTTGTGAGTGATTTGAGTGAAAATTTTGAAAAATATTTTTTTGGAGTTATTCAAATTATTGAAAATTTTTAAAATTAAGTGAAAATTGAAAATTTTATGGTTAAACACTGATTTCGAAAAAAAAGTAACAAAATTTCGAAAAAAAGTAAAAAAACTGTTATGTCCAAACGGGCTCTAAACCATTTCATTCTTAAAGCAAATTTGCAGAATTAGGGTGTTAAAAACACACTTAAGAGCATAACTTGAAAAACACTTCAGCTCGGGTTCACTTCCCATTTGGAGATTATCGAAACCAGGATATGGCTCCTTCTGCCGGAGAAGATAAACACAGTAAATCTCTCTTTCCCTTCTCATACCATATAATTTTATTTGTAATTTATACTCCAAGCAAAATTGAAGGAAAAAAATATTCATTTTCTGTAGGTTCTGCGAAGAGAGTCGCAGTCATTGGTGCCGGCGTCAGGTATGTTGAATTTACAATTCTCTATCAAATTTGCTTCTGTAGCTTTTGCAATTGTTCTACTCCGTAAGTTACTCTTGTCTTTCATGTTTTGCTGTTCCAGTTTCTGCAATTGTTCCATCTCATGAGTTAAATCTACCTAGTTTTACTGATAATTAAAAAAAAAAAAAAGAGAGAGTTAACTTTACCTAGTTTTACTTTTCTTTTGTCATTGCTCATGGATAATATAGCTAAGAATGCAAGTTTATGTTCATTCAAACTTCAAAGTTATTTAGTTTTACGTTATAATTAGATGCCTCATATTTGATAATTAATTGAAGCGATGTTGACTGATCATATTTTCTGTTGAACCTTCTTCTGGTATTAAACTATAAAAGGTTTAAATTTTATGGATTGATGCTTTAAATTAACATTCAGGAAAATTAAGTGCCCATCGACGCGTGAATTTAGTAACACAACCCTGGTACAATCGGTTAAAGACACTGAACATATTTTGTATATGGTCAATTGATAAAACTTAAAGCTGAAACTCTAATCCAAGATCGCAATTTGAAAGCAAATATGTCTTCACTTGAAAGTAGAATATTCTAAGACTATGGTAGAGTAAATCGAGGCCTTCCATTAATGACAAAACTGAGTTTGTTACACTTTTTAAAAAAACATTATTGTTCAGTTATATTTCATGAGCTTAAAGTGGTGTTGCAAGATAATGTGTATCATTTTCTAATTTTCTTTTTCTTTTTTGATCCTTTAATTTTTAAGGTTTTTATTTCTAGATGCCTCTAACTTATTTCATATTCAAGTGGGCTTGCTGCAGCATACAAGTTGAAAATCCATGGCTTGAATGTGACAGTATTCGAAGCAGAAGGGAGAGCTGGAGGGAAGTTACGAAGTGTGAGCCAAGATGGCCTGATATGGGATGAAGGGGCAAATACTATGGTCTGTTAATTTCTAAATTTCCATTGAAATTCTGTGAATGTCCTGTTCTGATTATAGTAAACAAGTGGCTTTTGACATTTTGCAGACTGAAAGTGAAGGTGATGTTACATTTTTGATTGATTCTCTTGGACTCCGAGAAAAGCAACAATTTGTAAGCCTTTCTGCTTTTATTATGTGTCATTACCTTATAAAAGAAGGCTTTGGTTCATCTTTTGTCCTGTTGAATAAGCTATAGAACATCGGAAGGTTTGATGAGAAGTACTTCTCCATGCTTTCACTCTGCAGCCACTTTCACAGAACAAGCGCTACATTGCCAGAAATGGTTCTCCTGTACTGGTAAGATTGGCCCATGGCTAGCTTGTTGACTTGCATGTTCCTTCTCAGCGTCACTTGCATTCTTCTGATATGGTGCTTTTGGAGTGATTAATCATGTCCTAAGCTGGACTTTTAATTTCAGTTACCTTCAAATCCAATTGACCTGTTCAAAAGCAATTTTCTTTCCACTGGATCAAAGGTATGTTGGTCGTCGGTCATCCTATCTTTCTGATTTAGATACATATTTTGCTAAGTTCATGTTGCATCTGTCAAGTTGCTCCTTTAGGAAGTATCTGTGAAACATCATATGTGGCTCGATGTGAGTTGCAATCCCATATCTTCAAGTCTCGTTGCTAACCCTGTTTGAGACATGAGCTTATCTTTACCATAGCTTAGCGAGAGTCGTGCACCAAAATTATTTCTTGTATTAAGCAATATAGCTTCTTTATAGATCCTTTCAACTGTATTTCAAATGCAGTTTAAATTCTTTGTTGTCCTACTGTTTCAAAAATTTAGAATTTATAGTGATTTCAAGAAAGACATGGTAAACTGCCTGCAGAATAATTAAGAAGTTTAATAAGTGTAACTTTGGCAACCTAGCCTATGTACCTTTAGGTGATCATTTCTATCAATCAACAGTTTGTTGAGGCAAATACACTTGGGGCTTTTGATTAATTTCGGAAATATCATGAAATATGTTTCTTCTTAAAAAAGCTTTATCCAATTAGGTGATTTCTTGATATGTAGACCCAAATATCAGGGAACAGATATGGTTAGGTCTATGTGATTCAGAGACACTACTATAGTATCATATTCTGAACATATTGGTTTCTGAAGTTTGGGCACAACCTTGGGAGTTGCTCTTTTGGAGCTTTTTGGTGAGTAGAAGGAACACCTGAACTTAGATCACATCACAAATAACTTGAATTCAATGTATGTCATGACATGGGACTTGAAGTGATCATTAATAGTGGATACTGCAGTTAAAACACTTCATAAAAATGTATTTACCATCTGTACACTCATTTTTCATCTATATCTCATTTCTTTCTTCTATCCTTTTGTAAGCGATGATGGTTAATTTTCAAAAATATTGTTTAATAAAGTAGCTTCATAACTGCAGCTTCAGCTGCTTTTGGAGCCACTTTTATGGAAGAATAAAAACCTCTCGAAGGTGTCTGACTCACATGAAAGGTATATGATGCGGTTCAACCTCTCCATGAAATTCCACGCTTTTCTGATGCTACTTCATTTCATGTTTAGCAGTTCTTTTGTTTAGACATCTTGGAGGTCCAAAATTTTTATTAGTTGTTTAATACATACTTGCTGTTCTAGAGAAACAAAAAAATTGAATTTGCATGTGGATTTCAATTGAGTTCTCGAATTGTAGAGCATCTGTCAATTCCACATTTTCGGGTTTGGTCTGTAGACTGAAACTGGTTTCCTCTGTCCAATTTATGTGGTCGTTTCAATGCATAGGATTGTTCACATTGCAGTATCCAGAAGTAAATTGCTATCAAATTTGGGACATGTTACCACCCCATTCGAGCCTCATATACATTTCAATGGTCTTCAGCCTACTGCTTATGTATTTTACTCTGTTGAGTTTGCAGCTTTTATGATCAGATGATGTGTTTGAACTCGGAGGAAAATGTTTTTCTAATAAATATAAGATATTCTATCCAAGCTAGCGTTGTGCATACGCTTTCTGTTAATCCGTCCTTTTGAAATCTAGCCTCTTCCCATTGTTTATAGAAGCTATTACCACTATAGTGTCTGCATAGACATGTTAGCGATTTCATAATCTACATTCTGAAGGTGATTTTCTTATTAACTGCATCAGATTTGCTTGCTCTTTCTCATAGTGATAAGTACATTTCTTGGTCCAGTATGCCTTCTCAATCTAGTAGTCATTCGACCTCCAAATAAAGCATAGAGGCAAGTTAAGTTGACATGGTTGTGATACTTTTCCATATTATATGCAGTGTCAGTGGATTCTTCCAGCGTCATTTTGGAAAGGAGGTCTTTGCTCACCTTCGATTGACTTTATCTCTATGTCCCTCAAATCTTCTGACATTCCATAACAAAAGAAAATCTCGCTATGTATAGAATAACTTTAATTTAATATCAGTTATACATGAACATCCATTTGTTTACTTGTTACCTGCTAGGTTGTTGACTATCTGATTGACCCTTTTGTTGCTGGAACGTGTGGTGGTGATCCTGACTCGCTTTCAGTGAGTACTCATTTATATCACTTGTTTGTCCATCCTATATTTCTTTCAACAAACATCACAGAGGGTAAGATAATGAGGTCAACATGCCTTTGTATACTTACTGAATATCTCAAACTACATTCAAGTATAAAAGGAAAAATGGGGTAGGATAATGTGAACTTGGTCTATAGCTAGTTTATTTCAAGAGCCTTAGATTCAGGTCATGACTTGGCATCTAAACATCATTCTTGCTATGAGTCAAATTTCATTTTTCTCCCTCTCTGAAACAGATGCACCATTCATTTCCAGAGTTGTGGAATTTAGAGAAAAGGTATGTACGTTCAAATTTCTGCCATCGCATGGGTTGGCAATCATTTTTCCTTGCTTTCTTGTCCTACAGTTGGAGAGGTGCTACTGTAAAAATCGTCCTGTTGATTGAGAATGCAGTTCGTTGAGCAAATTCATTTTATCATGCAAATAGCCCTCTTATGGCATTTGGTGTCATTACTTGCTAGGTTTGGCTCAGTCATAGTTGGGGCAATTCGATCTAAGTTATCACCTAAAAAGGAAAAGAAGCAAGGACCACCGAAGACTTCAGCAAATAAGAAGCGCCAGGGGGGATCTTTTTCCTTCTTGGGCGGGATGCAAGTAAGTATACTTTAATTCTTTTTTTCTTCATGCATTGAAGGTAAAGGGCAGAAAATTAAATGATTATACCGCCATTATTTATGCATCATGTATTATTTGAAGGTCATTCATCCATTTGGCCCCAGAGATGACTTGTCTAACATTTCGACATGAACTTCACACACTAGTTCTGAGTTGTATTTCTTGCCCTGTTTGGGTGATTTCATACATTTAAGTTTCTGCAAAAGAGGAGATACAAAGGGATGATATACCAAACTTGACTACTTCGACCAAATTCTCAGTCTTTCTCTTTGGGCATTGTTATTCATGAAAAATTTATTCTTAATGATAAATTATATCTCTGTAGGTGAGAGCTAGATATAATGCGCAGTCGACTACTTGCATCACTTATGTCTTATAGAATCTTGATCCTGTGATTTCTCTTAGTCATGTTTCATCTTACTGTTATCTCATCCAAATGCTTTACAGACACTTACTGATGCAATATGCAAAGATCTCAGAGAAGATGAACTTAGGCTAAACTCTAGAGTTCTGGAATTATCTTGTAGCTGTAATGAGGACTCTGCGATAGATAGCTGGTCAATTATTTCTGCCTCACCACACAAAAGGCAATCAGAAGAAGAATCATTTGATGCTGTAATTATGACGGTGAGACACTGGATTGATTGAGTCCTTGTATTTGCTTTTGTACAACTAGCTTCACTCAAGCTCAGTTCATGACATGTGATTTCTCAATTCTTGTAATGACGGACTCACGAATACCTGAGTCCTGTGCAGATGTCAAATGTTGCCATTATTGACTAAGCTTCTGTAAATTAGGCCCCACTCTGTGATGTTAAGGGTATGAAGATTGCTAAGAGAGGAAATCCTTTTCTACTCAACTTCATTCCTGAGGTTTGTGCTTCTGTGGCTTTTTGGTGTTAACTCTATAGTATAGACATTCTTGTTTTGTGATATTAACCTCATTTCTGTTTGACTCAAAAGTTATCAAATACTTTTTAAGCAAATCAATCGAAAGAAATGAACGGATAAATCATAGCCAATCATAATTAATCACTGAATCAGAAGACAAATTTGAGATGTATGAATCATCCATTGGAGAATGATATAGACGGGATTTTATTCATCATAGTAGCTTGACCTGCCTCTCCTTAGAGAGGTTCAGGATCTTACATTTATCTTGTTCATCGCCCCGTTCATGGAGCATATGCTACCATTTTTCTGTTTTCTGGCCCAGTCGAAGAAGAAGCCCCCCTTTGAAGGTTCTCTTTCTTGGTATTTATAGCTTCAAGCTCTGTGAACTGGTCACGAGCCGTCGCAGTTTAATCGAGGAGACGTCCTCCTGTCGCGAAAGGGCCGTGACCCCCTTGTCCGCCATAAGAACAGCTGTCATGAGTTTTAAGTCAGTTGCATTGACCATTCGTTATGAGTTGGTTAGGACGGGCCGGCTCCGTGGCTGTCGTATGGTCAAATTTTTACCAATACAATTTCGGCAAATCAAAATGTGTTTCCACATGGTAATTCACTCATTTCCTCAGTTAATGCTTTGAAAAGTGAACATGCAAAGTAAGTCGGTCTCATTTCCAAGAGGAAAAAGGTGCACAAACACTATCTACTTGGACTACTATTCTCCACCGTTGTGTCTTGAGAAGAGATATTATAGGAAGGACTGAATCTGAAGCTATATGTTCTGTACTGTGTATATGTGTATGAACTGTTATGTTCATTGGCACTGTTGCGGTCTAATTGAGCGTATGATGTGCAGGTTGATTATGTACCGCTATCTGTTGTTATAACCACATTTAAGAGGGAAAATGTAAAGCATCCCCTTGAGGGTTTTGGAGTTCTTGTACCTTCCAAGGAGCAACAACATGGTCTCAAGACACTAGGTAATGCAAACACACTAGTTTAAAAAGTGCCGTATAACAACTAGAAAGTGTTATGCCCTTATTACTTTCTCACCGCATGCAGGCACCCTCTTCTCTTCTATGATGTTTCCAGATCGGGCACCCAACAATGTTTATCTCTATACTACTTTTGTTGGTGGAAGCCGAAATAGAGAACTCGCAAAAGCCTCAAGGTTTCTAAACTTTTTCAATTTTGTTGTAATCTGCTTTACTTCATTCCTACTAAATTTTAATGATGATGTTTCAGTATGTAACTATATTCCTGTATTCACAGGACTGAGCTGAAAGAGATAGTAACTTCTGACCTTAAGCAGTTGTTGGGAGCTGAAGGAGAGCCAACATATGTGAAGTACGTGAATTCCTAGTATATAGCTGATCTAGTTCAGCATATGTAGGCTTTGGTTTGAAAAGGTTGAGATTCTGAAAAGCTGGCTATTTCTTTAATTGTAGTCATCTATACTGGAGTAAAGCATTTCCATTGTATGGGCATAACTATGATTCAGTCCTACATGCAATTGACAAAATGGAGAAAAACCTTCCTGGTTTATTCTATGCAGGTAATATTTTCTTTCCTTGAAATAGCATCTTCCATTTTTTCCCGTTGATGCAGCTTCTTTTAACAAGGAAGGTTCACAGTGTACTCTCTGCTAGAGGCCATATATCATGTAACCTTTAACTTAGTAAAAGCTATGTATGCTCGTAGAATTCTTTAGCCTAGCATATGCCGGCTTCATATTGATTTACTTGGCAAGAAAGCTGAAGCTGACTTTCCACTAACTTAAATCCCAGTTAAAATAAATTATTGCCACTGTACTTTAACATGTCTCCTGTAATGCTAGGTAACCACAAGGGGGGATTGTCAGTTGGCAAAGCATTATCTTCGGGATGCAACGCAGCGGATCTTGTTATATCATATCTTGAATCCGTGTCAGCTGACTCCAAAAACCAGTGCTGAAATATATTTTCTCATGCAGGTAGCACTACACACCTCCCTCGTTCTCTTTCTTTCAGTAGTCTAGTACATCTTGATATTTTCATCTTGTATATAGCTGAAACAAAATGTTCTCTTTCCTCCACTTCATTTTCTCCTTCCAATACAAGTTCCCTGTATCCAACTTTGTGACTGCTTTTCTTGTGGAATATTGCTCATTTCCTGATTCTGATTACTAATTGCATCTCAATTAAAATGCTTATTTCCTGCAGCTTGCTAGGTTGTTAAAATCGTTTAACTTTATCGCGAGATGCAACTTTGACATGTAGCGGGTGACAAAGCTCAAGCAGTAAACCAGTCCTTTACGGAGAGTTGTATTTCTGCAAAAGGCTCTCCGCACATATCCTTCTGATAGCTGTTACTAATAGATGTAGTGAATCTTTAGCATATTTAAAAATAGGCCTTTCTGCTGCTCTCATCTCTAATGAAATTTGTAAAATGGTTCCTCCCCCCTGCGAGTTGCCTTGTTAACTGCTCGGTTCCTCTGCAGTTCAGCACCCTTACATTTCTGGCCATGTTTCCTATCTCCGTATTATTTTGTGACCATCTAGTTATTATTCATGAGGGTCGGACATTTTTCTTTGATGCCTATCGGTTTATATATGAGTTTGGTTCGTGGTATGATTTGGTGTCGGATCTAGATGCCTCAATGCGGGTTCCTGGGAACCAGTGCCTTTTGCCAAGACCTTGTATATGTGTTAAAAAATTCATTGAATATCCATAAATATTTGACTGTGAATGCAGTTATTAACTTGAGATCGACGTAGGAACTCATAAATTTCAAATCTTGGATATGCCTCTATGATTAACTTAATAGAAGAGTCAATTTCAAATGCTAAACTAAAATTAACCAACTCGTGATTTAGTCCTGAATGGTCTAATGGTGAGTGATGAGCTTACTTGCCAACAACTAATGTATAGATACTCAACATTACCCTCTTTAAGCTCACAAGTTCCTTTTAAGTATGTACTAATTTAAGAGCAATAACTAGTATTTCGTGGTTTTCAATAAAGGCATGGTCTGTGTACCACGTGACTCCAAAGTCGAGATAAACTGGTCCTCCTAGTAATTAGCGAAAATGAAAAGGAGATTATTAGTAGCAGTTTTGTCGTCTGCCTACTTGGGGACCTTGGTATTTGAATAATTTAGTCACAATTCACTTTACGTGTCTATTAAAAAGGGGAATATATTGGTAACATCTAAAATTTAGATATGTTAATTGTGGTATTTTATATAGGGGTGTTCACAAAAACCCGAAAAATCGAACCAAACCGAAAATCAAACCAAACCGATACTTTTTGGTTTGGTTTGGTTTTGGTTTTGAATTTTAAAAACCGATCAAATTTGGTTTGGTTTTGATTTTAATCAAAAAAAAGAAAACCGAAAAAAATCGAACCAAACGGACTATGTAAGTAGCTATTTCAAATTTATTATTACACCTATATATATTTATATTTTTATACAAAGTTTCAAAAATTTAGGGTAAATGTTACCAATAGTTTGCACTTTTAGTATAGTTCTTTACATTTACATTCTAGTTTGATTGGTAGTTTTCTTTTGTTAAGTGTAAGAATCCATTTCGTGTTAAAAATAATATATTGTTAATTGAATCCTTAAATTATTCATCGCTATTTGATTTCTCAAAGGGCAATTGATTTGATAGTGTTACGTTGAAAATGTGGTCGCCGGAATATGTGTTTGGTAGTGTATGTCTAGAAAAAACCGACAAATAACCGACAAATAACCGAAAAAATCGAAAAACCGACGAAACCTGACATAAACCGAATCGAGAAAAAACCGACTTAATTGGTTTGGTTTGGTTCTAATATTTGAAAAATCGACTTATTTGGTTTGGTTTCTTTTAAGGGAAAAACCGATCCAAACCGAACCATGAACACCCCTATTTTATAGGATGGTCCTGAAGGGAGCCTTGGCGTAACTGGTAAAGTTATTGCCATATAACCAAAAGGTCACGGGTTCGAGCCGTAGAATTTTATGCGAGGACGGTCCTAAATCTATTGTCTTTTGAAACAAATTAGAGGTTCTTTGAACAAGAGTTTTCTCTAAACCTCTATCTAAACAAGGTTATTTTGTACGCTGTAGTTTTGCTCCCCCGTGAACGAATTTTGAATATTCAATCGAAAAAGATGAATCATATCATAAGATTATTGACACCTTTTGATTCCAACTATTTAACGTACCTCCCAAGCTTCGCAACTAAGTTTTTATAAATCTGTAAAGTCGGCGGAAGCGTCCAAAACTAAATTAATTACAATCCTACGCATACCCCACCCTCTAGTCATTAGAAAAAGTCTTTTTTTTTTTTTTTTTTTTTTTTGAGAATTGCACATAAGTACAACTCATACACACATATTATAACTGAGTAGTTCAGTTATAACTTTGCAAATCAATAGTCCAATGACAATAGGCCCAAATCTGAAAAACCCAACATTTTTTGACGCAACCAGCAGTTATTGTGGTCAATGCTATTCAACATTCATATTGTTGAGGAGAGCTTCTGTATTTATCTTCTACCAAAAACAGTGTTTTACTATTAACTTTATGAGACAATTAATAAAAATATATTTAAATATAAAAAGAGAAAGAAAAAAAAAAGAATTGGTAGCTTTTCCCTTTGTCAGAGGCAGAGAATTTGTTGGGTTTCAATTAAATAATTATTAAATATATAGTATATGATTATAAAAGTAGAAGAACTCGATTAAATAATTAGCAAAATATACATTCAAATATAAACAAACAAATAAAAATAAATTTGGCAGCTTTTTGCCTTGTCAACGGTATAACAGATGGTAATTCCTTCTCATACACACATCATTGCTAGATTTCAATTTTTTTTTTCCTTCAATGGTGCCACTAATAGAGTTTAACCCAAAACAGAGAATAAGTTAAAAACAAACAAAGGAGGTTGTCCAGCTCGAGAAAATGTAAGAAAACGTACAAAAATTTAATTTCGCCTTTCTACATTCTTATACACTGGTATATACCTAATTATACAAAATTATACACACTTATACATATTTATCGACTTGGTATAATAGTGTATAAGAGATGTTTACATACCCATATACGCTATTATACATTGTTATACAAATGAATCCTATCAATGGAGCTTCACGGGTTTTCTTCTTCTTTCTTGAGCCTTTACTGAAATTTGACTTAAATCTAGCTCAAATCTGCTCTAAATCACTTCAAATTAGCTTTGAACTCCTCTTGATGTTTCCAATCAATTAGAACAACATCCAATCATGTTTTCAAGCAAACCCAATAACACCCATTTCAAAATTAATCTCAAATCTTAGATCTAAGTGTGCTTTCAAACCCAAAATCTCAGATATGGTTTAAACTTAAAGCTCAGCCTTCAATGGAATTTTTTTTTAATCAATCAAATTTTAAATTTGAGAAACTTGAGCTCCAATAATGGAGGTTTTATGATTATATACACTTGAACGAAGAGAATACTAAACCTAGTAGCAAGGATGAGGCAAAATTGTAACTGAACAACTTCAAATCTTGTTCAAAGATCAGCTTCGCTCTTGGAGTTGAAGTGCGCTTATTATATGATAAGGCAGAATACACATAAAAGAGAGATATTAAGAAGCTTATGTGTGTTATGGACTGTGGAGGAACTGAGTATCTAATAATGGGCTAAATGATGAAAAGATTCTTTCAGGTTATGTACAACTCGGGCCAAACAGTGTAAGGACTTCAAACTTGGGCCATTTTCAGTTAGGCTGTTGGGCCAAGTGACATTGGACGTAATTCTTTTTTTATTTTTATTTTTTATTGACCCCCCCCCCCACCTAATGAGCTATAACCTGAAGGTAATTTTAATGATCAAAATTAGAGGTGCAAATTTGGACCTTTTTTTTCCAAAGTATTTTGATATGTAGCCCCCATTTCATGCTGAAGATCCGTTAATAGAAACAACAACTAAAGACAATTTGCTAATGGCTAGTTTATGATCGAACTCAAAATATAATGGAAATTTCAAATAATAAATGGTAAATTTAGACCTTTCCCTTCCATCTATGTGGACCTCCAGCTCCTAGTACTCACTAATAGGAATTTGGGCAATATTTGAGTTAAAATTCAAAATGAAACTGTAGAAGTCAAATTATCTCTGAAACATGACATTAACTAATAGAAACTACAAGCATTTTACCGGTGACTAGTGATTAGAAATATTTATGATGAAACTCACAATTGTAAATACTAAGATTATACTAAAATAGTAATTCATGAATGGATATTTCTGCTTAAAATCCTGGATCGATATACTTCAAATTCCGGCTCTACCTCTGCTCGTCTCTGCCACTTAACCCACCATACTTGTCACCCGCGACACTTGGAGTTCAACTTTAGTTGGAATTAGGGGTGTTCATAAAAATCCGAAAAATCGAACCAAACCGAAAACCAAACCAAGCCGACCAAAAAAATCGATACTTTTTGGTTTGGTTTGGTTTTGGTTTTGAATTTTAAAAACCGATCAAATTTGGTTTGGTTTTGGTTTTAATCAGAAAAAAAATACGAACCAAACCGACTATAGGAGTAGCTATTTCAAATTCATTTATTACACCTATATATATAATATATATATATAATATATATATATATATATATATATATATATATATATAATATATATATATATAAAGTTTTCCAAAAATTTAATGGTAAATGTTAATAGTTTGCACTTTTAGTATAGTTCTTTACCTTTTACATTCTAGTTTGATTGGTAGTTTTCTTTTGTTAAGTGTAAGCATCCATTTCTTGTTAAAAATAATATATTTTTAATTGGTCCTTAAATTAATTTATCATTTTTTGATTCAGTTATCATCAATATATCTTGGTAAATAATAGATTTCTCAAAGGGCAATTGATTTGATAGTGTTACGTTGAAAATGTGGTCTCCGGAATATGTGTTTGGTAGTGTATGTCTTATATTTAAGAAAAAACCGATAAATAACCGGAAAAACCGAAAAACCGACATAAACCGAATCGAGAAAAAACCGACTTAATTGGTTTAGTTTGGTTCTAACATATGAAAAACCGACTTACTTGATTTGATTTTTTTTAGGGAAAAATCAATCCAAACCGAACCATGAACACCCCTAGCTGGAATTGCACCGGATTCTGTTGAGTGTTAGTATTGTTTGTTATGCATTGTATGTGCGAATACAGCTTCTACTTTTGGACAAACGTAAAAAGCCATTAAATGAAAACAACCCATATGAGTAAAGTAGTCAAGAACACGACACCCACCTACCCTCCTTCACTCTATCTTTGTTTTTTTTTTCCATTTTTTTAATTACTGCTTATTAGTTTCTTTGTCCTAATTTATGTGGCATGATTTAGAGTACGATTGTCAAACTATTTAATTTTTGGTGTAAATTCAGACATAAAACCATTAAGTGTTTTAAAATAAAATTTACATATTAAGAAATTAGTATACAAAAAAGTAGTACAAGCCACATAAAAAAATTGCACTCAAAGAAGAACTCAACTGCAGCTAATAACAACAATAACAACAATAACACGGCCAATATATCTTCAGATATAAAATCATT